TTACAGTTCCAGCGACGATAGTAGTCGTAATATGCGTAATAATATTGATAATAATAAGAATAATAAGGATAATGATGATAAAAGTAGTAATATTCGTAATAATATTGATAAAAGTAGGAGTAATAAGGATAGTTACAGTTCCAGCGACGATAGTAGTCGTAATATGCGTAATAATATTGATAAAAGTAGGAGTAGTAAGGATAATTACAGTTCCAGCGACGATAGTAGTCGTAATATGCGTAATAATATTGATAAAAGTAGGAGTAGTAAGGATAATTACAGTTCCAGCGACGATAGTAGTCGTAATATGCGTAATAATATTGATGTTGATACTAATAAGAATAATAAAGATAATGATAATAAAAGTAGTAATATGGGTAGTGATATCGGTTCAATTAAGAATAATAGTGATATCGGTTCAATTGATGATAATAAGAGTAGTAAGGATAATAATTATACACGTAGTTCCACGATAATAGTAATAGTAAGATGGGGAATGATATATGTTAGGTCTCCAGACCTAACCTTGTACAACCTAACCTTAGTCCCTGACCTAACATGGTCCGAACTAACCTTAGATCCTGACCTAACATAATATATCCTAACCGTAGGCCTGACCTAATATAATCCGACCTAACCTTTGGCCTTGACCTAACATAGTATAACCTAACTGTAAGCCCGACCTAACCTATTTCGACCTAACCTTAGGCTCTGACCTAACATAAAATAACCTAACCGTATGCCTGACCTAACATAATCCGACCTAACCTTAGATCCTGACCTAACCGAATGTAACCGAACCGTAAGCCTGACCTAACCTGTTGATTGTCTGTTATGTTTAAGAATGTAATGGAAAGGATTGTAAATAAGTACATGATTTCTTTTGTTTATTTATTGTAACTTCATAAATACATACAATTTGCAAATATGTTTTTTGCACAATTTTTAATTTATGTAATTCTTTATTGGCTTAATTCTTTGTCGAAGATCGAGGCAGATTGTGTGTACATTCAACTCTGGAACTGAAAAATAAAATTGTTGCACGATTTAATAATACTTTTACGTGAAAGTTAGAACATTAGTAAACAGAAAATGTTACTTATATATATATATATATATATATATATATATATATATATATATATATATATATATATATATATATATATATATATATATATATATATATATATATATATATATATATATATATATATATATATATATATATATATATATATGTATATGTATAGTTGTATATATATATATATATAGTTGTATAGTTTTATACAGTCATGTATATGACTAACCTAACCTAGCCTAATGTAATCTAACCCAACCTATACATTCATAGTTTACAGTGCAATTATAAGAATTTTTGAATATTATGTAGGATCATTAAGGTGCCCTCATCAGTCACCACTGCGTGTACCGGCTAGGTACGGCATTGGCAGCCAGCTGTGACGTCAGCTGACGCATGTGCATAAAGCTCTCGCGTGCGATAAAATCTCACGACTGCCCAACACTGGTCTACGGGCAGTATAGGAACTAATGAAACTGCAGTTTCAAAAGTGTGTAGTTCACTACGTTCGCCGAAGAGATGGCGCCAACAGATAATTCTAATAAAATTTATTTTTATGCAATTCCTAATTTGAAATTGCTTATTACAATTACTCACTGAAAAGATTTTGTTTATTCAGTGACATAATTGAACATTTTTTACCCACTTTCTTTTATAAAATAAAGGGTTTGAATCTAAGGAAAGTGAAGGCAATATAGGAGAACATGTTACTTACCTTCACTTAAAGGAAGAAGTTCAATATCTTTTCCCTAGATAGCGTTTGAAAATGCTACAGTGAACTCTCTAAATGTGATTTAATTGTAAATAAAAATTAAATTACAATTATGAATTTCCTGGCTAAAGGTATAATTAGTGCAGCTAGATCTTGCCTCACCAAATCCATCGAAGGTATGGTCATTGTTTCATCATAATTACACGTTTCATTGTATAACCTCAAATCTAACCTCTCTGTGAAAGAAACACTTGTATCAATGATATTTCACAATTGTTAATGATTCTTAGTTAAGACATATGTATTTAAACATGTTTACAATAATTATATTCTGTTGTCAAACAAAAATATAACATTACTGCAATAATTCTGTGGTTAATATTTATGGTTATGTTATTTGATATGTAAATATATATTTCAATAAGTTAGTATAGCTGAATGTATATGTACATTTATTTATAACAAATGATGTCTTTACATTGTAGGTAATAGATCACAGTTAATCAGGCTATGTACTCCTGCTGTCACTCAAGGTATACTTTTATTTTACAAATTCTAATTTTTATAACTGCTGATAATAATATTTTTGTATTTTTTACTAGGTAATTTAGTGAGCAACGTTAACTCCTACGTTGGGAATCTAATACAAGGTACTAATCAAAGCTATTTGTGCTTTATTTTATGCAATGTAAGGTGCTCAATATTTATAAAATAAGGTCTATATATTTTCTGAATTATGCAAGGACTGTTCAAGATATGAAATTCTGTGATCCTTAATTTTTATGTCAATGCTTTTTCTTTAGTTACATTATTGTTTTATAGTTTTTTAAGCTTCACTCATGGTACTAAAGTTACAATTTTTATTAAGATTGTACTGAGATTGTTTTTCTTCTGTACTTTTCATTTTACAAAATTAAGAACTTTGTAATTTAGAAAATGCCTGTACTATTTAAAAATTTTTAAATGTCTAAATTTTATTATTTAAGAACTAGTTAATAACCAAATCTTTTATTTCTAAATGTATTCATTTTTGAAGTATCTAAATTCATACCTACAAATGTCCAAATTGTCTCATTCAAAAACCTGAACATTTCTAAATTCAAAAATGTCTCTATGTTATAACATTGAAGACCATCAACTCGTTCAGCAGGCCATAAAGAGTGTCATATAGCCAGACTACTACATGAAATATGTTAAACACAGATTGGCAATTGTGCATGAAGCCCATGATAGTCTATTTGCGTGAAATTGTGCGATCATTCTCGTTGTTTGCGTTTCCCATAAGTGTAACAAGGCCAGTATTTTCCACGGGAATTCGAGTGACGTCTCGAGTTTCCCGTAAGCCTTTTGGACAGATCGGTATCTCTTTCTCTGTCTGCGGGTCAAATGCGACAAAAGGGGTGGTCGAGCTAAAAAGGGACCACGGCTTTCGGGCATTCTTCTTCGCGAAAATACGCGTGGCTCGCAAAAGCGCACGCAGTCTTTACCTCTTTGATCCCCACGAATAGAGAGATCTCGAAAATGCAAAAAGGGATCCGGCTACTCCGCAAGAAAGGACACGAATGAGGGGGGATGGCGAAAGGGGGATGCTTTTCCTTGGCCAATGGCGAAAATCGCTGGGAAATCGAAGGGGGTGACGTGTCCATTTGTGGTTGACCAGTTGTCAGAAGTGATCTGCGAAGGGTGCGGGGTAAGATTGTTATTCGTACTTTTCCCATTTCTCGCGGTGACACAAAGGACATCTCTCGTGGGATAGGGTCTCTATCGGTTACCGTGAACTAAACGGTAATTATTATTTATTGTTTTCTTTTCGTTGTAGAGTTCAAGGGTTTTAATGGGGTTTTTAATAGGTAATTGGAAAATTTGGAAGAGGGTGGTTTTATTTTTGGAATTTAGAAGCTTCTTTGATTTGATAGGTTTTCAAGGTTGGGAATTTGAGCTTTTAGAAATTGGGAATTTAGAAATATGGTGTTTGAGAATTTGGGAATTTACAAATTTGGGAATTTGGAATTTAGAAATTTAGGAATTTTGGAATTTTGGATTTTGAAGTTTGAAATTTAGAAAGTTAGGAATTCTGGAACTTGGAATTTTGCAATTTGGAATTCTGCAATTTGGAATTCTGGAAATTTGGAATTTTGCAATTTAGAATTCTGCCATTTGGAATTCTGGAATTTAGGAATTCTGAGACTTGGAATTCTGCAACTTGGAATTCTGCAATTTTGGAGTTCTAAAATTTGGAATTCTGGAATTTAGGAATTCTGGGACTTGGAATTCTGCAACTTGGAATTCTGCAATTTTGGAGTTCTAAAATTTGGAATTCTGGAATTTAGGAATTCTCCAATTTGGAATTCTACAATTTGGAATTCTAAAATTTTGGAAGTTGAAATTCTGGAATTCTGTAATTTGGAATTTGGAAATCGGGAAATTTGCAAATCTGGAGTTCTGGAGTTCTGGAATTCTAGAACTTTGGAAATCTGCAAATTCAAAAATTCAAAACTCAAAATTTAAAAATCCTAAATAAAATTATAATTCCCAGATCCCTCCAAATTTACTATCTTCCCAAAATGTCACTCAGCAAGTACCTTCCAATTACGCAAAATGTTCCTCTGATCCAGGAATCGTAACCCAATAGATAAGCTCGAGATTTGTCGGGTTGCTGCGTGTCTTGGCTGCGTGAACGCGACAAAAGCGTAACCGCGACTCGGAAATTTTTCGCAATGTAATCTTACGCATTGATCTTCGAGAAAAGGGGTTGCCTTCCATGCATAATAGGTTCTGCTGGTCTCTTGCCTTAGTTAAGTCCGAGTTAGGTCGGATTAGCAGCGGCAGGCTTGGACATCTGTCGTTTTGACGGACGGTGGTCAGCCAGATCTCGAAATGAACAACAATGGTACAGTCTCGACTAACAGACCCTGATAAATCGTGGACTACTGTCATCAACGGATGCCGGAGTATCGCGAAATTGTCGTGTCATCCTCGACATTTCACTTAAACTACCTTCGAACGAAGCTTTCGTTCTTCATAATTTTTGTACACTTCATTTTATATTCAATTTTAGAGTTAGTCATTTCTTTCTCTTAAATTATTTTTATAGTATATTAACTTACTAATATTTTATCAAAAATTAATTTTAGTTTGAAATTAAATTAATTTCAGTATGAAAGTTAAGCTCTTATTTTATTATATCATCGAATATGTGTACGTCAAATATTTTTGAATACAAATAACAAAATACTACTATTTTTCTAATATTTATTATTCCATGTGTTTCCTTTATAAAAATTAATTTTTTCCCACAGAAACTAATTTTATCTCGAACTTAATTTTTGACCCGGCTTCATCGCATCTACTTCTGAAGCAAACACATTCAGATCGAAGAGAATTTTGTTCATTTTACAAACAGCAAATTGTTGTATACTTTTAGGCAACACGATCTCACGGATGGTGAGTGTTTTGTGCAAGGATGGGCGTACCTTGTCCAGTAACAATGTTGCTTAATAAGCTTATACACGCTCGAGCGAAAAAGGATTGCTTTCGTTGGCCGGCTTGCAGATGTCAAGCGTCCGTCATATTTGATATTCCGTCGTCGGGGACCCTTTTTCCTCGGGTTATTTGCGAAAGAGTTTTCAGTTTCCCGGTACCGTTACCACGCAGTGGGTCTTTCATTTTTCCAAGACCCGTGGACAATACCTTTGACTAGGACCCGATCATCCGTGGGGACTGTTTTCTTATCTAATTCTTGGTCGATTGCTGGCTACTTTGTGGCGTTACTCAATTCTTTTCGAGGAAATATGTCGGTTTTTGAGGGTTGAGTGGAGGTGGAAATTTGGGACTTTGGGAATTTTGGGATTTGGGGGATTTGGGGGATTTTGGGAATTTTGGGAATTTTGGGAATTTTGGGATTTTGGGAATTTGGGATTTTTGGGATTTGAGGAATTTGAGGAATTTGAGGGATTTGGAGGGATTTTGGGATTTTGGGATTTGGGGGATTTTGAGAATTTTGGGTTTTGAGGGATTTGGGGGATTTTGGGATTTTGGGATTTGGGGGATTTTGAGAATTTTGGGATTTGAGGGATTTGGGGGATTTTGGGAATTTTGGGAATTTTGGGATTTTGGGAATTTGGAAATTGGAATTCTAGGAATTTGAGATCTTGGGATTTTGGGGATTTGGAAATTGGAATTCTAGGAATTTGGGATCTTGGAATTTTGGGAATTTGGAAATTGGAATTCTAGGAATTTGGGATCTTGGGAATTTGGGATCTTGGGAATTTGGGATCTTGGGAATTTGGGATCTTGGGAATTTGGGATCTTGGGAATTTGGGATCTTGGGAATTTGGGATCTTGGGAATTTGGGATCTTGGGAATTTGGGATCTTGGGAATTTGGGATCTTGGGAATTTGGGATCTTGGGAATTTGGGATCTTGGGAATTTGGGATCTTGGGAATTTGGGATCTTGGGAATGAATTTGGGATCTTGGGAATTTGGGATCTTGGGAATTTGGGATCTTGGGAATTTGGGATCTTGGGAATTTGGGATCTTGGGAATTTGGGATCTTGGGAATTTGGGATCTTGGGAATTTGGGATCTTGGGAATTTGGGATCTTGGGAATTTGGGATCTTGGAAATTTGGGATCTTGGGAATTTGGGATTTTGGGAAATGGGAAATTGGAAAATTGGAAAATTGGAAATTTGGAAATTGGGAATTTGGAAATTTGGAAATTGGGAATTTGGGATTTTGGAATTTTGGAATTTTGGAATTTTGGAATTTTGAAAATTTGGAAATTTGGTATTTGGAATTTCGGAAATATAAAAATTGTAATTTTGAAAATTTATACACTCTAAAGCTTGACAACCTTTTCCAAAGCAAGATTAAATAACAAAAGAATTTCGTTTCCATGCATTGTCTTCGGTATGGACAGTTTAGTCTTGTCTCGAGGCAAGATTTCATAATGGAAAAGTGTCTTTGACTGCAATTAGTGTCTCGTCTGGTTACGTAATGCGAAGAATTTCTAGCGAAAACTTAATTGTTACCATTCATCGAACCATTACTTTCCCCTTTATGGTTACACACACTTCGAAGACAAAAGCTATGTGTCTTCTAATCATATTAGGATTACTATGTTGCTTTTAATTCTCTCGCTTCTAAACCTGATTTCTCAATGCACTCTTTAGTGACAACTTATAGCGACAAATAAGATGAATTAAATAAAGGAAAATATGTGAGAGAAATAAACAAGTTAACTTTAATATATTTACTTTCTAAATATTGTTATCAACAACTCTTTTGAACGCTTAAAAAAATATGAAATATTTAGGGAACATTATTTATCGAACTCTTTATAAATTTCTTTTTTAAAAAAGATTCAATTGATAAAAACAATATTTTGTTTAATAACACTGGTTCTGTTAAATATTGAATATAATATTATCATTGTTGTAAATGTTTAATTAAATTAGGTTTCGCACAGATAAGATTCGGAACAACGCTCGCTCGATTACACAAGTATGGACCTTTTAAAAAAAAAAACAAAAAACGGAAGGCACTCGGTGGAAAACCATACGCGAAAGCTGTGGTGATAAAGACGCTCATCAAGAAACCGAAAAAGCCGAATTCTGCGAATAGAAAATGTGTGCTGGTTCGACTTGCAAACGGCAAAGAACTGGTTGCATATGTACCCGGTGAGTATCACGCATATAAATAATGTGCCGTAGTTACTTTTAATAAAAAATCAAAGGCAAACGAGAAAAAAATATAAATCTCGAATTCACGACCCACTATGCTTTTGCAAAATTATTACTTTTAGTGTCTTCTATAACTATACGAAGTTTGAATTAATGTGTGTGTTGTTTCGTTTCAGGAATTGGCCACAATCTTCAAGAACATAATATCGTATTAGTTAGGGAGGGAAGATTGCAAGATACTCCTGGTGTGAGGATAAAATGCATCCGTGGAAAATATGACTTACCTCATCCAGTAAAGAGAACGAATTAATTCTATAGTTGATTAAATCTTTTGTACAGATACTATCATTGTGAATGTTAGAATTTCATTATAACTTATGTATAAAGTCAATATGTAATTATTATTCAATCATTTATGTTACCTGTACATCAGTCTTCAAAACCTTCCTTTTACAAGTTCTTAAATTATTCTCTAGATTCTTAAATTTTTTAATTTTTCAACTTTACAATTTTCAAATTTTTCATTTTACATATTTGCAAATTTCTGACTTATCAAGTTTTTAAATCTGTAAATCTTCAATTTTCAAATTCCTGAATTTGTAAATTTTCAAATGTGCATCGCCATATTTTCAAAATTCAAGATACATGAAATTCCAATTTTCACATAGTTCTGAATTTATAAATTTTTATATTTGAGAATTGTATTCCTAAGTTTCCATATTTCCAAATTTCTAAATCCCCAAATTTCCTAATCCCTAAATTTCCAAATTTTCAAATTCCACAATTCTATAATTCTCAAATTCCCAAATCCCTAAATTTCCAAATTCCCAAATTCCCAAATTCCCAAATTCCCAAATTCCCAAATTCCCAAATTCCCAAATTCCCAAATTCCCAAATTCCCAAATTCCCAAATTCCCAAATTCCCAAATTCCCAAATTCCCAAATTCCCAAATTCCCAAATTCCCAAATTCCCAAATTCCCAAATTCCCAAATTCCCAAATTCCCAAATTCCCAAATTCCAAAATTTCCAATTTCCCAAGTCCCCATATCCGCAAATCCCCAAATTTCTAAATTTCTAAATTTCTAAATTCCAAAATCTCCAAATCCCCAAATCCCTAAATTACCAAATCCTCAAATGCCTAAATTCCTAAATTGCCAAATCCCTAAATTTCCAAATTCCCAAATCCCTAAATTCCCAAATTCCCAAATTCCCAAATTCCCAAATTCCCAAATTCCCAAATTCCCAAATTCCCAAATTCCCAAATTCCCAAATTCCCAAATTCCCAAATTCCAAAATTCCTAATTTCCCAAGTTCCCATATCCCCAAATCCCCAAACCCCCAAATTTCTAAATTCCCAAATCAACGCCAGGGCAACTCCCACCGGTTCGTTATAGCCTCGCTTTTTGGCTGCAACATTTCATTCTACTTTCCTATTCGAACCGAGTCATATTCCCAAATCCCTAAACCCCCAAACTTCTAAATTCCCAAATTCCCAAATCCCCAAATCCCCAAATCCCCAAATCCCCAAATTCCCAAATTCCCAAATTCCCAAATTCCCAAATTCCCAAATTCCCAAATTCCCAAATTCCCAAATTCCCAAATTCCCAAATTCCCAAATTCCCAAATTCCCAAATTCCCAAATTCCCAAATTCCCAAATTCCCAAATTCCCAAATTCCCAATAAATTCCCAAATCCCCAAATCCCCAAATCTCCAAATCCCCCAATCCCCAAATCCCCAAATCCCCAAATCCTCAAATCCCTAAACTCTCAAAATTCCAAATCCCAAAATTTCCAAATTACCAGTCTCCACATCGTCAAATTTCCACCGTCATTTCCCTGACGTCACGCTCCCCAACGCCCCCCAAATTGCGGCCTTTTGACACACATTTCGGCTATCTGCTCCCTCCGTGCAGGGTTTACCGTTAGCTGGACCATGCGTCGTCCTTCGGCACAATGTATATTCTGGTAGATCGGGATGTCACAATGCCAAAAGGGTCGTGGCCAGCCCTCTTCTCTCGACATTATTACGGAAGGGTTGTTCGTCAGCCTTCTTGCATCTGCACCCTGGTGCATCCACCCACTGGCCATTCGCCACATGACATGCTGACCAACATCCCGATGTTTTCAAAAGCTTGGCTCTCAACTTGCCATTTTCAGCGACGCCCTGAAGAACACCGCTATTTTTATCCTGTCGATACATGCGATATGCGAAACCTTTTATTATAATCGATGCGATTTTCAATTAGTATATAATATTTTGTAGGTAAATGATTCTAAGATGTTTTTCGAGTACAGGAATCTGCTAGAGGTTAGAGGAGATGAGAACCTGAATGGTCAACCCTTTGGCAGCGCTGATTGTTATCAGACTTACGCAGAATAAATTCGGGGTTCGTTAAGCCTCCGCCATTGTAACCTTCTGTGTTAGTCTGGGCGCAATTTTCGGGAAAAGGGAAATATTTGTGGAATACTGATGTATGTGGGGCAGTAGCTCGCAGCTACTTTAGGGTGTGGAAGATTTTTAGTCTTCAATTATGTGAAAGGAAAGATACATGTATAGGAAAATTTAATTGGAATTTTGATAAAGTACTTAAAGAACAAAAGCAAATTTTTACTTATTTACTATGTTGTAGATAATATTAAGTAGAATTAGGGTGTGCTGCAATTGTCTATACATTTATGTATATGTAGATGTATGTCACATATGTGAACCATGTGTGAAAATATGTCTATATGCGAACCGTCACTTATATGAATTATTTTTTAGACAAAGATTGATGGATGTACATTATAAAGTTTGTAATTGTTAGTCGATTTTTAGTGCGTTTACTGATCCAGTGTTCATGTAAATCATTGTAAATTATTTTCACGTATTTTAACATTTTATTTCTGTACTGTAGCTTGGAAAGAGTTTGTTGTATACTTGAGAACCATTATGACAAGCATGATACAATATATAAAACTTAAAAATAGTTTAGATTAGTCAATGATCAAAATCTATGTTTCTGCTTCACTAGTTATAGCTTAAAACTTTTTAATACATTTAAGAAGCTCATATGTAAGTAATCAGAGTAAATAGTCCTTGCTGGATTACCTATTGACTCACCTGAAAACAAAAGAGCCAGTTACATAAAACGTTTCATAATATTCGAAGGAAAGCTGTAAACATAACAATGGTTTATCCTATGGGCGTGGTACAAGGGGTCAGCTAAGGGCACTTGCCCCTCCTACTGAAAGAAAATTAGAGTGGTTAAGGTGAATTGTACGATACGAAATTTAGATAAGACTTGTGATATGGCAATTTCATCACATTTGAAAATGTAGGTACCAGAGGTACTTGAGAATATAGGTACTTTTAAATTGTAGAAATGTGAAGAATGTGGTCAGTTACAAATATAAAAATGTACAAATATAAGAAATATGAACAAAATAGGGTTGTAGAAAATGTAGAAAATTGAAGCATTAAAAAAATAAATACTGATGAACTTCAGACTTCAGTCATATTTTGAAAGATACAGCCAAGCAAATTACCAAGTATAAAAATTAAAAATCAGAAAAAAGGGTGTAAAAACGAAAAAAAAGCTTTTAGTAAAAAATTAAATTTCCAATATTATTAACTAATAATCTCACACACAAAAGTAGATCTAAAATCCCCTTACCCATTTTTACACAAATCCTCTAAGTCCATGGCAGCTCATAAAACACAAACAAAAAAAAGATACTCTAATCCTTATACGAGGACGTAGGTAAAACAAGAAGGAAAAGTGGATTCTTTATTTGCGTGCTAGGAAAGAATGGTTGTTAACTAATTTAAAAGTGTTTTCGGAGTCAGGCGAAGTTAATCCGTTGCGCTATAATCGAGTTTCCCTCGATTTTAACCGATCCTCCGGGTTCCGAGCGTTGTAAACCTCCGACGGATACTCGGATAATAAAAACCGATGATATTTTGAAAAAAGTTCGCAGAAAAACCGTGTTATTTTTATTGCGTTACGGAGGTTGCGGGTGTACCTGACTCGAGCTGACGAGCAACGCGTACAATCGTCATTTTACGACCCCCTTTCTCTGTCCTTTTATTTTACGCCACGGATCTAGGGTCCTCGATGGCACCACGCTGGAACTGGTTTCTTTATTACGGTTCTCCGCAATAATCACGGTTCCTTTGTTAATTGCGCTCTGATAAATTTCTTGCATTCGAGATTTCGTTAGAGGTTCTTGTTTTGTCGTTAGAGGTGTCTTGCCTTTTTTTAAGTATTGAGGAGTTTTTTAAGGTTAGAAGTTATGTGAGGACTTATGTACTTTATTAAGGTTATATTGATAGTAATAGTAATTGATAGTAAGTGAGGAAGTTTGAGATCATTAATAGTTTATATGGATAATGTTTGTGCATGTGACTAAATGTTAGTGTCTTTGAAGAGGTTAAGGAGGTCCCAACAAAGTTTCTAATAGTTTAACAAAATTAGTTAATTCAAAAATTAGTTAATTTGGAAGGTGGAGAATTTGGGAATATAATAAATTGAAAATATGCACTCATGAAGCTTACCAAATATTTATAAAGAAATAAAAAAAATAATCTACAGATCTTACATCCAAGAACAAATGAACAATGAGAGTCCCTCGACGTCAATGAGAAGAATACAGAATAGAAACAAAATTAAGAAAAATATCAACAATAACTTTTTACTGAAACTATCATGACTATTACACAACAAAATTATCCTAATCATTGTACAATTTATGTTCAATATAGCTTCCCATAAAAAGTTACACCAAGTACCATTAATTACCACATTAATTACAAGCACCACCACATAGCCATTAAATTAACATTTTCATACATAATTTTCAGTCAATAATAAATTTCCATAAAAACCTAAGAAATTTATAAAATAAAACACGTTGCATTTTTCCAAAGGTAACAAAGAATATTTCTAACGGGTTTTCCAGTGACGAGGGGTTGCAAACGGTTCAGGGCAACAACAAAGTGGGCCAGTAGTATACGAAATGCAGAAATTTTTCAGTGACCGCGTCTTTTCGAGGGATTCTCAAACAAATAGCATGTAAACGCTTTTCGTCTCTCCACACAGAGGTTTTCAACTCTTTACCGTACAGCTTAGTAATAGGACACCAAACGATCTGCTCTCTAAAGTTTTTGTCCTCGGTTACTTTTGCCAACACGCTTTTACTATTCTGAACTCTTGCGATGTACTTCGATTCTTTTCAAAAGACTCTTTTTTCAATTTTTTTTTCGAGATTTGGTTCATTCTGTTTTCGTACATTCATACATAATATATTTTTGTAATTTAAGATAGTACATTTGTATAATCGTGGTTAGGTGTTATTTTTATGGTTATCATTTTTGTTGTAGTTTGTTATTTTGATAATTATTATTTTGTTTGTAGTTTCTTT